TTAAGGCAGTTACTTAAAGAAATTAGACTAGAGCCCTGGCTGGTGTAGCTTAGTTGGTTGAGTGTTGTCCCATGTACCAAAATGTCAATTCAAGTCCCTGTCAACCCCAGCAGGGGGCGTGCAGGAGGCAGTAATTATAAAAATTGAAGTATGGAAAGTGGTGTTTCTCATATGAAACAACGTGATTTTTCTCTTTTAGACCTATGAGACCATCTTCTTATGAGGTACTTTGGAGGAAAGGAGAGAAGATCAGAAGGATAAACAGAAAAGAGAAAAATGAAGGAACATAAGAGAACATAGAAAAGAATAAAGGACTTTATATTCAAAGTTGATTTTAAGGGATCTAAAATATTTCATTTTTAAATTTTCACAATTTTCTCTTGCCTTTGCCAAGGAATCTTTTAAGGAGGCAATTTCAAAATATATCCCTTGAATATATTTTGAAAGTTTCTTCTTGCTTTAAAATGTGGACAGGCCCTAGCTCAATTGGTTAGAGTAGCGGTGTCGAACTCAATCAGAGAAGGGGCCAAAATCTAAAATCCAGCCTAAATCGCGGGCCGAATGGTTTACTGAACAGTCATAAACTGTCATTGTGATGGAAACGCAGCGGAGTGCAGTGATGACAGCGCAGTGCGGGCCACATTGCAAGGCCTGGTGGGACGGATTTGGCCCGCGGGCCTTGTGTTTGACACATGTGGGTTAGAGCATTGCCCTGAAATATCAAGGTTGTGGGTTCAGTCTCCAGTCAGAGCACATACAAGAAGCAACCAATGAACGCATAAATGAGAGGAACAAAAAAATTAATGTGTTTTTTCCCTCTGTCTCTCCGTCTCTTGCTCCTTGCTCTAAAGTCAATAAATTAAAAAACGTGTAGACAATTGTATGTTTGGGATGCTGCTTCCTTTGTGCTTTAAAGTGACTCCCAAAGGAACGATTTAGTTCATATAAACAGTTTCTCAAAGTAACCACTGTAATTCCAAAATAATGCTTATATCATTTAGAAACTTAAGATTTGTTTTCATTCTAATATAAATACATAGAAGATGCAGGAGTTCAACCCAGAATGGGTACAAAACTAGACTAAAGATAAACCTACAGAGACTGGCAACAGTCAGTCAACTCTTGTGCACCTTGTATCTTGCCCCTCCTCCCCATCTCCCCCCACAAAGAGAACTAGATCTTCATGAATAACACATCAGTGAGTAAAATTTGATAAGATTCTCATAAATGACCTGAGGCTTTTTTCCCCAAAGCATGCCAATCTGAAGAGAAGTCTTCTGAGCAAACAGCTTACACCCATCTTGATATCTCTGGACTTCTTACAGATGAACAATGAAGAAATGACAAGGCCAGACACAAAAGTATTGTCAGCAATAATGCAGATTTCTACCAAAAATAAGTTTTTTAAACTTGATCAATCTGAATTTTTAAAAGAGCCTCTTATTCCTAGAAATCACTCTCAAACCAAACAAATTAAATAGCATTTGGAGTGTTTGAGGAAAAATAAGAAAGCAAATCTGAAACTCAACATGAACTTACCTTCCCGTCGTCATTGGAGAGACCCTGTGCAGGAGGCTCAAAGGGCCTCAGAAAGCATGCTGTTTCCAAGTTGATCAGATTTCTATAGGACCTCCAAGATTATCAAATGCCGGCTTCTTTACAATACCTCCAAAATAACCTGTTGACAGCAGAACTGAGCTTTTTGCTTACTGCAGAAAGGGAGGCTATCTTAATAGTCTTTGCAGTGTCTTATGGGAGAAGCCAGAGGTACAATATTTATGAGTTTTGGGGATCTAGTTTAAGATGAGTTTCAGGGGATCTAGTTGGGATTGGCACAGTTTTTACATAATAGCATTTTATATAAAATAGTATTTACACATAGCTTTTGACTGGAAACAGGGAGGTGAGAATTTAGAAGTGATTCTTGTGCAATCTTCTGCCTCCTCACAGTAATCTGCTGTGCCCTCCACAACCTGCATTGCTCACCAGCCCGGAACTTCAGTAATATACAATGCTCTGCCTTTGTGTGAGCAGACAGTACTTATCACACCATCTCACAATTGGTTAATTATGTATATGTATGTTAATACACTGCGAGTCCTCATAGGGTTAGGATAAGGTTTTGTTAATATATCTTACAGCTAGCAGGTAATAGCGTCTGGTTCTCAATGAATTCTCAGTCCCTGTTGACTGTAGCTGAAGTAAAACAAACATGCTGAATTTCAATTTATGAACATAAATCTCAAATGAGCCCTTAATCAAGTATTGTAGATCCATTAATAATACAGGGATGGGCAAAAGTAGGTTTATAGTTATAATACAAATAAATAATACAACAATAAATAAATAATACAAGAAGAAAACGTGTTTCACGTACTCATTATTGGTAAACCTACTTTTTAAAAAAATATATTTTATTGATTTTTTACAGAGAGGAAGAGAGAGGGATAGAGAGTTAGAAACATCGATGAGAGAGAATCATCGATCAGCTGCTTCCTGCACATCTCCTACTGGGGATGTGCCCAAAACCAAGGTACATTCCCTTGACCAGAATCGAACTGGGACCTTTCAGTCCGCAGGCTGATGCTCTATCCACTGGTGGTAAACCTACTTTTGCCAACCCCTTGATTATACTTCCTTAGTCTAATTACTCTCATACTAGCTTTTCTCAACTCCCCCTACACCCATCTTCACACTTACCAAAGGACCTTGCTTATTTCACTGAGAAAACTGACGCAATCAAAAGATAGTAATTCCCCCAAACTCTCATTTGTTCCCACCTACCAGCATCTTTACCCATGTAGGCTGCCTTGTCACCTATTCATAGAGGAGGTATCCATGCTCCTATCTAAAGTCAGGCCCTTTCTTTGGGTACTAGATTCCATCCCCTTTCTCTTACCCAAAGGCATTTCTTCAGCAATTCTCGCTCCTAGGCTTTCCCATCTCTCTTCAGGTTGTTTTCCAGTTATTTTCTATAAGGACACTCCAAAATCTTAAATGCAGATGGTCATTTATTCAAAAATATTTTCCATGCATCTACCACTGTGATACATCTATGAATAAAAAAAGACAAAAGTCCCTGCCCCATGCAGTTTAGAATCTAGTAGGTGCCGTCGGATTAATTTCAAAATTTATTCTATATATTTTTTAAATTGATTTCAGAGAGAAAGAGAGGGAGAGACAGAAACATCAATGATGAGAGAGAATCACTGATCAGCTGCCTCCTGCACACCCCACACTGATGATCGAGCCTAGGACCCTTTAGTCCACAACTCGGGCATGTACCCCTGCCGGGAATCGAACCCAGGACCCTTTAGTCCACAGGCCAATGCTCCATCACTGAGCCAAACCAGCCAGGGCACAAAATTTATTCATGAGGAAACAACTCTTGAGGCTCACAAGGGACCAGAAGGATGCCCATTCCCACCAGCCCGACTGGAAAACCACATTAACTCAAAAGCACAGTGTGGGATACTCCGAAGGGTTTTGCTTTAACAATGGGACAAAACTAACACCCAGATGTCCATCAACAGGTGAATGAATAAACAAATTATGGTATATTCATACAATTAGATACTACTCAGTAGTAAAATTGAATAAATTGTTTATCCAGTGACGTAAATTCTAAAATAATTATGCTGATTGACAAAAGTCAAATAAAAATGTGCATACTGTATGATTTCATTTTATAAAATTACTAGTGGCCAGGTGCACAAAATTCATACATGGGGGATGGGTGTCCCTCAACCTGTCCTACAGCCTCTCAATCAGGCACCCCTCGGGGATGTCTGCCAGTTTAGGCCCAACCCCTGTTGGATCGGGCCTAAACCACAGTCAGACATTCCTCTCACAATCCCGGACCACTGGCTCCTAATCGCTCATCTGCCTGCTGGCCTGCTTGCCCCTAACTACCCTCCCCGACAGCCTGATCACCCCCAACTGCCCTCCCCTTCTGGACTGATCACCCCTAACCGCCTCTGCCTCAGATCCGCCACCATGGCTTTGTCTGGAACAACATGCAGAAGGTCCCCCAGTCTAATTAGCATATTACCCTTTTATTAGTATAGATAGAGGCCTGGTGCACAGGTGGGGGCCGGCTGGTTTGCCCTGAAGGGGTCCCGGATCAGGGTAGGGGTCCCCTTGGGAGGCAGGGCCAGCCTGGGCAAGGGGCCTGGGGCAGTTTGCAGGTCAGCCACACCCCCATTGGGCTAACAGTCCCTGCTGGGGGTATGGCCGGCCTGGGTGAAGGGCTGAGAGCCATTTTCAGGCTGGCCACACCCCCATCAGGGTGAGAGTACCTGTGGGGGGCTTGGTCAACCTGGGTGAGGGACTGGACAAGGGGCTGAGCATATTTTGCAGGCTGGCCAAGTCCCCATCAGGATGAGGGTCCTTGTGGGGGGGCATGGCTGCCCTGGGCAAGGGGCTTAGGGCCATTTGCAGGCCGGCCACGCCCCCATCCTAAAAAATAGGCAGAGTGGAATTATGGGGGGATAAAAACAAAGAGGGAAAAATTAATGCTGCCTCATTTTTACCACTGAGCCAAACCGGTTTCGGCAATGCTGCCTCATTTTTAAATAGCATACTCTGTCATTACTCAAAAAATATAACACTATACTTGAAAATTTACACAGTACAAAAATGTGGGGGAAAAGAATTACTAATGCCTTACTTTGCACAGTTTTAAAATGTTGATGGTTGGCTGAGCTGAAAATACTAATATATATATATATATATCTCCAAATATAATGATAACAGTTATTAGTGGTAGTTACGCTTAAAAACTTTCAGATTCCAAATTGAACTACCAGAATTCTCAGATATTAAAGTATTTATTCAGCATCTTCAAAATGAATAAAATCACCATTATCCCCAAAGTATAAAAAGAAAACTAACAAGTTTAAGAAAAAGTACAGCATTTTAATGAAAAAATTACATTATAACAAGGACATTATACTTTAAGTTACTATATACATATACACACACACTTTTGAAACTTTAAAAAAAATCCTGGTACAAATTATATAATATCTTTCTCATACTCACATGATTAAGTATGTACTTTGACAGAATTTAAAGATGAAATACAAGCTGATGAACTTCAAAACTAGAAACTTTAATGCAGGACCATATCCCAAAATCTAATTTCCATCACTTTTGTAACTTCTAGAAAATATTTACTTGTTATAAGCATACACATTTTTTCTTTTAAGTATATTAACTGCTTACATAGAAAATCAGTATTTAGAAAAATGTCCACCATACTTGTGTTTATCTATAATTCATTGTAATATATATAAAGTTCACTTGGAGACTTGGAACAAAAAACTACAATGAAGAAACAAACTCATCTATAATTATGAATTTCTAAGCACTTATTCTGAATGTCCAACTTACTACTATAGATATTGGACCTTGTGATACATGACACAAAAGAGCATTTGTCCAACTTTGCTGCAGAGCTGTTAGGAGAATGCCAAATAAAGATGCTGAAAATTTTATGGACTTGTATTCAATACCCTGCACGTTTAAAAGATAACTGAATATTTAAAATATGTAAACATACTTTTAAAAAAAAGTGATACTAAGCACCTTTAAAATACAATACTGATATATTGTGACTGAATATTCAGTTAGAGGACAAATGAACTTTTTAAAACTAATTTAAAAACCATTTTTAAAAAGCTACTCATTGAAATACTTACATGAAAATATTGATAGTTCCAGTTTCTACCTAAAAACCAAAAGAGTATACAATTAGGAATTTCAACTTTCTTCATCCACTTTTCTTTTGTTTTTTTTGTTTGTGGGGAGGATGCATGGTAACTTTCTATCCTCATAATAAAAGAGAGAGAGAGAGAAAAAACAGTATCAGAAGAGACATTCTCAGCCCGGTTGACATGGCTCCGTGGTTGAGTGTCCACCTATGAACAAGGAGGTCGCAGTTCCATTCCAGGTCAGGGCACATGCCTGAGTTGCAGGCTTGATCCCCAGTAAAGGGCATGCAGGAGGCAGCTGAACAATGATTTTCTCTCATCATTGATGTTTCTATCTCTCTCTCCCTCCCCCTTCCTCTCTGAAATAAATTTAAAAAAAAATTTTTTTAAAGAAGAGACATTCACAAAGAATGAAATGAGAGAAATATCTCTAAACTATGTTTTGTTCTTGATTACATAAGTCTGAATCCTTGGACATCTCTCATCTTCATCCATAACTGACTAGAGTTTGTATCTTAACAAGCATTTCTCTTTAGCAACTTAACATCAAAAAAATAAAGGAATGTTTCCAAAGAAATATAGTTCAATTGGTAAAATATTTAATAAATTATTATCATTAATGAAAGGTGAAGATTATATAAAATATTGCAAAAGCATTCCATAAAAAGTAGAAATAACAAATGGAAAGAACATTACCTACAATGAACACTAAACTATAAATTAATTTGGACTTATTCCCTTAGTACATGCAGACTAAGAGAAATCTGGGTTTGAGGTAACTAACAGTTGTGTTTAACTTAACATAACAGATTTGGCAGCCTAACTCTATAAATGCTGGTATCAAATATTTTCATTTACTAGGAAACTGGTAAGTCACATTAAAAACCATATATGTAATTTAATATTAATTTTGCATTAAATAAGGGTTTAAAATAATAAATTTTATATTAAATATAATATAAATCTAAAGAGCAAGGAATTTTAAAATTCCACCCACTTCTAATATAACAGTGCTTTATACTTATACATGTTATGAACCTGAAATTTTTAAAGTGAATTAAAAATGAGAGATGGAATCCTAACTAGTTTGGCTCAATAAATAGACCCTACAGACTAAAGGGTCCCAGTTTCAATTCCTATCCAGGGCATGTACCTTGGTTGCAGGCACATCCCCACTGGGGGGTGTGCAGGAGGCAGCTGATCAATGTTTCTCTCTCATCGATGTTTCTAACTCTCTGTCCCGCTCCCTTCCTCTCTGTGAAAAATCAATAAAATGTTGTTGTTTTTTAAAAAAATGGGAGATTGGACTTAGAAAAGGAAAGAAAACTCATATTTATGTAAAGTATTATGGTTAAATTCCATATTATATTGCACATGCTTTAAGTGTTAAACATTAAAATCCATATGAAAATCTTATTAAATATATCCACATATAGTCTCTGAAGGAAAAAAATGTCTTTAAGTTGATTTCTTGATAATTATAATTGACCTTCCAGAAAACAGAAGCTTATATTGAATATTTGAAGTAAATATACTTACTCAACAAGCAAATATATAACAGATCTGTTGTTTCAGTTTTAATATAAACTAAATTTTAAACTATAAATATTTACCTTTCAGTACTATAAATTTTAATAACATCAATTCAGTCAAAACTCTGGCATAAAAAAATAAATACAACTCAAATTCTTTCCTAACCAGAACTGAATCTTCAATATAAAATAGGAAGGAATCCTCTGCCAATATAAAAGAGTTCCCTAAATTATCTGTAAATAGCATGGAATTCTATTATTCTTCCAAAATTCTTTCCATTTCTACATTTTTCTACCCATAGGTAGAGTTGTATTACAATACTGCATAAATCCATGTAATATACATTAATTTGTTGTTTATCTGATTAATTCAAGTTAAAATTCTCAGTACTTACCAAGATCCTATAAATTTCTACTACATTACCATTAGTGTGCTATTGGTTTGCAGTTACAAGTATAAAAATCAGAATGAAAGATACTAAAATGCAACTATACACAGTTTCCACAGATGGGAGTGCTGGGCTTTGTGTTATGAAGTAAAATCTATTGTTTATTTTTCCAAATGAGAGACTACAAATCTTCTCTCACCTGTCTGTCAATTTAAAACATTTTTTCACAACTTTAAAGAGAAAATAAGTTCTTTTAAAAATTTAAAAAGTATCACACACGCTTGCGTGTGCACGCATACACACACACACACACACACACACACACACACACACACACAGTTTTTTGTTCTATTTCATTTTTTAAGAACCAAAATTAGATATTTCCAGGGAATAAGTTAGATAACTATTTGTGTTCAGGCTGTGTTACCATGGATAAGTTCAGATAACCTTTTGAAATACTGGCCTTATCAGATACCCAGAAAACATAAGAATTATACAAAATAAGAGGTGTAAAATATCTCATAAAGTAAAAATATAGAATTGGCAACAAATATCAGTTTTAAATAAAAGGCTGCTTATCAAACCAGTCTTCAGTCCACATTGCTGAGGTCTGACAATATTCACCTTCTTTTCTATGACATCAGAAGTCACCAGAGTTGTACAGTTCTGAAAAGCTTCAACAATTTATGTAGCAGATAATTTCTCGCAGCCCAAATTTTTTTTTGCTTCCATTGACAATGCTGGTTCTTTGGGTTCCTGTTTAACTTGGTTCACAGAAATGGTACTTTCTGGGTTTTCTTCAACTTTAAAGCCAAAAATAAAAGAAAAACCCTAAAGATTAATATCATTTATAACAGGGATCTTTAGAATTATATAAATTAGAAGCCAAGCATAAAACAATAGTTTGGAAAAAACAGGTAATTTAGAAAAGCAGTTGGTATATTTGAGAACTTAATGCTTCTGACATCTTAATAGCCATTCATGTTACATTCCTTACAGGGGTCTCCTTTAAAAAGCAATCTGATTTAGAGATCCCAGAAATATTTTGGCACAATACAGAGGGAGGAAGCATGTTAGAATGGAAAAGCTTTGGGGACAATTAGCTCTGAGTTTAAATTCCTTCTTTGCCACTTAGTTGATGTGAACTTAGGCAATTACTTAGCCTCTTTGAGCCTTGGTTTCCCCATCTGTAGAATGGAACACCACTATGGAGTTATTGTGAGGATTAATTGAAATATATTCCTTTCCCCTCTTCTACTAAAGTTTCTTGGTAGTGATAACTGTCACAGCCCTCTGGATACATTTTCTTAAAAGCAATACTTCAGCCCTAGTCGGTTTGGCTCAGTGGACAGAGGATTGACCTGCGGACCAAAGGGTCCCAGGTTGGATTCCATCAGGGGCACATACCTTGGTTGCAGGCTCCTCCCTGGCCTGGGCCTTGATTGGGGTGCGTGCAGGAGGCAACCAATCAATGTGTTTCTTTCACATTGATGTTTTTCTTAGTCTTTCCCTCTCTCTTACATTCTCTTTAAAAGATCAATGGAAAAATATCCTCAGGTGAGGATTAACCCCCCAAAAAATATAAGATCTCTAATTAATTTAAAAGGCAATAATTACTTTCTGGAAGGAACTATTGTATTTCACACTTTTCCTTACCCAGAAGGGTGATGATTAAAAATTTAGGGAAAATACATGTTCTAAGGATAATTTCTATGAAGATTTTGCTCTTCAAAGCAAACTGCAAATCTTTCCCCACTAAACTGCCCAATCCAGAACAATTAGTAGAAAAAGAAGTGACATTGGTAAATCGGAGTTAACAGTCTATTACTATGTTGACTGGGCTCACTACAAAGTAAAGTTAACAAAGTCATATATTGTACCCAAATCCCCTTTCAAATTCCACAGAACTCAACATTTAAATCTATAACTCAAAATTTTCCTTTAAATATTTCTATCTGCCCACTTCATTCCATTTTCATTATGTGCATATTAATTTTTCTATAATAACCTTTTCACTAGTTTTCCCTTTAAAATTTAACTTTTTTTCCAAGAATTCTAAAATGATCTTCCTGCTCTGACATCATCACAGATTTTCCATGTAAAAATAGGTAATTAGTAATTACAGCAGAGAAAACAATTAAAAATTTATGTTATTAAAACATAGGCTTATAAAATGTTTTCTTTTTCTCATAGCTTTAGCTGATTTATTTATATATTATAAACCCACTAAATAGAAATGATAGTTATTTTTCTGTAGCGTAGTGACAATAGTTCATAAAGTGTTTTTTTTTTAAATCTTAAGATGATTTTAACTTACAAAGAGGTGGGTGGCTGTCTATAATTTGTATTGGAATGGCCTGTATATTTCCCAACAGAAACTGATGAACACTTCCTTCCAAATTCTCTGTATCCTCAGCATCTCCAGCATCCACCAGCTGATCTGCCGCAGCCACATTTTGATCTGGTCCTGGAAGGTTATCCCTGGTAGGGGCAATACTATTGTTTGGGGTAAGGCATGTGTCTGTTTGAAGGCTATGACTTTGACCACGCTGTAGAGAATTATTCTTCATTACAGTACTTGGAATTGAATCCAGAAGTCTTGAAGGACTAGAGGAGGGGTGGTCATCTACTGATATCAGAGCTGGTGATCCATCAGAAGCGAATCTTGGTTGCAACTGTAAACCCTTTTAAATCAAAGAGTTACATCAAAATGTTTGAATTTACCATATAAAAACTCTCATAGGCTATATTATTCTTCTGACACAAAATTGGAATAAAATATAAGAGTACAATTGTAAACAAATATTAAGTGAGGACAGAAATAAGAACCAAAGGAACAGTAAGAAAACGAAATTTTAATGCAGGCATAGTCCACTCAAACTTTTTCAAAACATATTGTTTAAATTATAATTTTAAACCAAAATACAAAAAAGTCAGGAAATTAACAATGAAAACATCTTTGATCATGATTATAATTCTATAATAAATCTGTAAAAAAGGAGGAGAAAAAGGAGGCGGAGGAGGTTGAAGAAAGAAGAAAAAGGTCTCAAATTTGACTATTTTACTGAATTTCTACCTGTAGTTGTGTGAATATTTTCGGCTGAAATGAAGAAAGTGGAGAGGAGAGCAAATGGGCTGATTCTGGAGACAAAGAACCCCTTGTCTGATTTGTTCCCACTTTGGTGGTAGATGATTCTTCTGGTGAATTTCCTAAATTATATAAAAAAATAAATTATTAAAACAAAAGAAATGTATGGCTTCTAGGATACTAGACTTAATTACAACCTTAACTATCAGGAAATAAGGTCAAAGTTTTGTAAAGGACTTTAAGAAGTTATATAGTCCACTATTTTCAGAACTTGGTAGATTATCAGAATTACTAAGGGAACTTTAAAAATATATAAATTCCTAGGTTCAACCTCTATTAAATTTAATTCAATATATCTAGGATGGAAAAGAAAATTATTTTTTTTCCCTTGAAAGACTCTACATTCATAACTTTAATCAAGTCCATTTTCCATGCCATGATTCTGGATCACACCTACACTTCTCTAAATCTGAGAAAACCATTGAATCTCTCCATTACACGAACCAAACTTAATTCATCTTTGATAGCCCTAGGACAATGCCTGGTAAAAAACAGGTTTTTCAATAATAACAGTATTAAATTTCTTTCAATAATTCATTAAGGAACAAATACAAGTACAAATGTTTTCTCAATATTTCAATTTGTAAAGTAAATTGTCCTTAGGGAATCTGATTCCTTCTCATGTAATTCTTATGTTAACCCAAGTATTTGCATCTTTTTAAATCAATCAAAAAACAATTACCAACAACCATTTATTGCTTTGATAAATGGCACTGGTGTCAAATGAGAATGGCTTTTTTCTGTAACCTTCAACATGCTATTTAACCCAGTTTCTAAACTTCAGTTTCCTCATCTATAGAATGAGGATAACAAGAGAATCTTCCTCAAAGGACTATTTGAGAGGACTAAACAAGACTCTCACATTTCTTGCCTTCTTCATTTCTAACTGTCCTTCTACTTCATTCTTCTATGACTACTAAGGCCATGCCATGGAATCTCTAATTCAAACATCCCCTTCTCTGATCATAACTTCTTATCCTCCCAGGTATTCTTGCTGAGGTGCTCCATTTCAAATTGTTCTCCAACCTCATGTGAACCTCCAGTCAAGTGATTCCTCAGTTTGCTTCAGATCTATCCACCTCTTCCTTAATAAAATTATCTCCCCATCCAGCTTAGCATGATGGATTTATAATTTTAGTCACACTCTTGGGAATACCCTAAACTCCCTTGCCTCTCAGTCCTTGGGTCATACCCGCATAGTAAAATCCTAACTCTGGATGAAAATGGCTTCCACTGCCTCTACATTGAAGCCAAATGCCACTGAAGAAGAAACTCACTACTATTACCAATACCAGTACCAATTCATGATCAACATCAACCTGACGGTCACCTATATTTGGCAACCTTACAATGTTTCTCTTACTCTGTATTAGGAATGATACCTAATCTCCATTTTCCTAAAATCTCAGCCAACCTTCCTGAGATCTTCTGTCATTTTTAGCACTCTTACTTCAGAGAAAAGAAAAGCTATCAGATAGAAATTTCTTCACCTACCCATCACCAAAGCTATTAAATACCTTCAGCTTCATCTATTTCTTCAGATCTTCTGTCTTAGAAGGCCTTCCCTCAATCCATAACCCCTTCATAGCAAACTTCTTGAAAAAGTAGTCCACATTGTCTCTATTTCTTCATTTCCCCTTTATGCTTTATCCACCCCCATTTGGTTTCCACTCAATCCACTCTACTGAAAGGGCTCAGATACGAAAGCTTTCCAAACCTGATCTCATGATCTTTTTTACTCTCCTGTGTGGCCACCAATACCTATTCTTATGCCATTGTTACTGAGCTCAGAAAATGACACTTATTAGTCAGTTGCTCATGGAAGAAACTCAGGAATCATTCTAGATTATTCCCACTCTTTTACCTCCTTCACCTATTCAGTTGATATCCAAGGCCTCTAGTTCTACTTTTATTTTTTTTTAAATAAATGTTTATTGTTCATATTATTACAAATGTTCCTTTCCCCCGCCCTCCCTCCACTGCTCTCCTCCACCAGGTTCCCACGCCACCCTCTGCCCTTTCCCCACTCCCCATTGTCCTCATCCATAGGTGCAGTTTATGTTCAGTCTCTTCCCACATCCCCCTCTCCCATTTTCCCCAAGAATCGTCAGTTCACTCCCCTTCCATACCACTGATTCTATAATATTCAACAGTTAATATTGTTCATCAGATTTTTTTTAATTTCCTTGGTTTTTAGATTCACTTGTTGATAGTTACATATTTGTTGTTCATAATTTTTATCTTTATTTACTTTCTCTTCTGAAAGAACCCCCTTCAGCAATTCATATAATTCTGGTTTGGTGGTGATGAACTCCTTTAGCTTTTTTTTTATTAGTGAAGCTCTTTATCTGACCTTCGATTCTGAGTGATAGCTTTGCTGGATAGATTATCTTTGGCTGTAGGTTCTTACTATTCATCACCTTGAATATTTCTTGCCATTCCCATCTGGCCTGCATGGTTTCTGTTGAGAAATCAGCTGACAATCGTATAGGTGCTCCTTTATAGGTAGCTCTTGCTGTTTTTAATATTCTCTCTTTGTCTTTTGCTCTTGGAATTTTAATTATGATTTGTCTTGGTGTGGTCCTCTTTGGATTCCTTTTGTTTGGAGTTCTGTGCGCTTCCTGGACTTGTAAGTCTAATTCTTTCACCAGATGGGGGAAGTTTTCTGTCACTATTTCTTTCAGTATGTTTTCGATATCTTGCTCTCTCTAATCTTCTGGGACCCCCATAATTCTGATGTGTTGGTTCGCTTGAAGTTGTCCCAGAGGTTTCTTACATTATCTTCAATTTTCTGAATTCTCTTGTCTTCTTGATTCTGCGGAGGAGTGTCTCTGGCTCTTTATGTTCCAAATCTTTTACTTGATTCTTGCGATCTTCCATTCTGTTTTTAGGACTCTGTATAATATTTTTTATTTCAGACAATGTATTCTTTGTTTCTTGTTGATCCCTTATCATTTCTTGTTGATTCCTTATTAATTCTAGTTGATCCCTTTTCATATCCTCATAGGTCTTATCGACCTTTTCTAGGAAATTCTTGAAAAACCTTATAAGCGTAGATTTGAACTCTATATCCAGTTGCTTTTTGTCCTCCATTTCTTTCGTTTGTGATCTATTTCGTCTCAGCATTTTCGCAGCTTCCCTGATGGGGGGGTTTCAGGGTGGAGTCTACAGCTTTGGCTTCCATCAGCCCTGCCCTATGCGGCTCCTGAGTCTCAGGGTCCTTCAGTACTCATTGCAAGCGCTTCTGAGAGAAAGGTGCCCTCGATTTTCGCCTGCTACCAAACAGTCTAGGCTCTCCCCCAATAAGCCTAGATGGTATTGGGGTTCAGTTCAGTTGGAAGTGGAGTTGGAGGTGGCATTCAGAGCAGTCTGGAGCTCCTGTCTCCTTCCTGCCAGGACAATCCCACGGCACAGCCAACCGTCCCTTCTCTGTGCGCAATGTGCGCGCCTCTGGGATCTCCTTTTGCCGCTCCCCCGTGGTTCCGCCTTGCAGCCCCGCTCCCTCTGTTTGAGCCTAGGTCCCCGGGGTCTGGCCTAGAACTGGGGTTCAGAGCAGTCGGAACTGGGGCCCAGCACAGTCGGAGCTTTTATCTCCTTCCCGCTAGGGAACGCCAGCCAGGCACTCAGCCACCCCGCCCTTCCTCTCCGGCTCCATCCTCTCTGCACGCCACATGTCTCCGTACCTTAGGCTGTTACAGCTCCTCCGCTCTTCCTTCTGGTTTTCTCCTTGCTTCTCGTTGTAGAATTTCAAGTCAGTCGACTTTCCTGTAGTTCTGGGTAATGTCCATTTTATATTTTAGTTGTATTTTATTGAAATTGTTGTGTGCGGCTGCGGCTAGGTGTTTACCTGTGCAGCCATCTTGGATTCTTCTAGTTCTACTCTTAAAATAACTCTTAAATCCATCCACCTCAAATATAAATGACACCATTGGTAAACCACCGTCATCTTTCAAAGGCACAAAGAGCCTCCTAGACCTGTTTTGTTTATCCAGTTTTATTTCCAAGCATTGTCTATGCTGAAAAACCACAATAACTCTCTTAATTCCTTGAATATGACAAGCTCTTTCTTGCTTAGCCTTTGAACACGCTATTCCTTTGATTGGCAAATTCCTATTTGTTCTTCAGTTCTTAGTCTAAAAGTCACTTTCTCAAGTGTCACTTCCCTACTCCCTGGACTGTTATATGTCTCTATCACGATTGCCACACAATTTTGCAAAACTCTCTCATGGCACTTTCCCGAATAGTAATTTGAAGATATTTATTTAGTGACTTTTTCTCTTGCTAAACTTTCAATTAAATTAAGAAACAAACTTTTTCTTCATTAGACCCACCATTTATCACCTTGAGTGAAATATGCACAGAACAAATGAATAATGCTAAAGAATTTGAAAGTTATCTGTAGTCGGTGACTCAAAGGTTAATATGCCAAAGAATAAAGAAATAATTGTTTGTATACTGTTATTCATAAATTTACTCTAAAGCATTTTTTAGGTGTTAAGTTTGTCGCAGGCATCATGCTATGAACTAGATATATTAATTTGAATAAAATACAATCTTTGCATCCCTGATGGGCTCAGATCATAATGAAAGATACAGATGTGTAAACAAAAGGATACCATATTAAATGAAGAGGTAAATACAAAAGAATAAATAGCTAACTCTGTACAGGGGGTGAAGATAAGAAAGCACTTACAGCCAAAGGGATTGTTATTTGAGTAGTGAATGGAGTTTGCCATGCAGAAGAAGAGAAAATACATTTCCAAAAGAGAGAACAAAAGGGTTAAAATAAGTTTGGGCTATTGAGAGAACATAGGAGTTAGAACATACAAGAAAAACCAAAAGGGATAATAGTTTCCTGATCAGAGTATCTTAGGGTTATTGATACTGGAATTAACCTAACTTTACAGTAAACTGTGATGTAATCATACTCAAATTTCTATCATAAAGAAGCATAAGAGCTGATTATAAGAGGAAATTTAAATAGCTGGAATTATTTTGATAAGTCCTAATGTAGTTACTCCTTTCTCTTTGGGCTCTGATTTCCTTATCCATTAAATTTGATTATTAGATGAGATACTATCTTAAATGTCTTCCAGCTGAAACCAGTTTGGCTCAGTGGTAGAGCGTCGGTCTGCGGACTGAAAGGTCCCAGGTTCAATTCTGGTCAAGGGCATGTACCTGGGTTGTGGGCACATCCCCAGTAGGGGGTGTGCAAGAGGCAGCTGGTCGATGTTTCTCTCTCGTTGACGTTTCTAGCTCTCTATCTCTCTCCCTTCCTCTCTGTAAAAAAATGATAAAATACATTATAAAAATAAATAAATAAATAAATAAAAATAAATTAAAAAATTAAATGTCTCCCAGTTTTAACATTGTTTGATCTTATACTTTAAAGGTATTAAGATAACCTACCTTCTGCAACTGTAACTGTCACAGCCTCTCTGAGAATATTTCCACTGTCTGTAGTCCACTGAAGCTAAAAAGGAAACATTCACTTCAGTAGAATATTAAAAAATATTTTAAAACAGCAATACAACTCTCATATTTTGTCATAGTATAATTATCATTCATCACAAGTATACTTTACTAACCAAATGCATTAGCTTCTCAAGTTCAGATAGCAAAACTTTGGTTAGCAAGTGTAGGTGGCAAGGACCAGTGCTAACCAAATCTGTTTTCATTCCTGAATTTGGGATAGAGAATAATTAAGAGTTTTGAATATTAAAGACTAGTAGCTCTAGCTTAAAAAAAAATCTAAATCTATTATTCTGTTCAGTCACTAAATTTAGATAGTAAAAATGTGGAGAACAAAGGATATTGTTGCTGATATTTTAATGCTATAGTCACTATCTGCATTACAATGACTAGTTTCTGGGTAATTAGATTAATCTCTTCAGAGCGGGAAAAATTTTCATAGAAATTACCAATATTCAGAGGGAAATTATCACAGTATGAAGTAACATTAATATCCATAGGTGGAATATAGAACTAACATTCTTACTTTGTTTATTCTAATCTGAACTATTCCATTTAAATTTACCCATCTACTTAAAGAGGGGGAAATATGCATAGCATGTAATCAATAAATGTCTATTAAATGAATAAGGTATACTTTTTATAGAGATAAACTATGTTGATTTTTAAATAAAGATTACTATTATTATTATAGTCAGAGTTGAAAATTCACTAGTTTTTCTTCATGTGAGAGTAATAAACAGATTTAGTTAAATCATCATTTAAAAGTTCACAGTATTTACATTTTAAGAAAAATATCCCTACTTTTTCTTATATCATAGTTATTTACATGGCTTAATTGTAATCATCCCTATTAGTCCAAATAGTAATGGAAGCTGAGAAAGACTATGTAATAAAACAAGGAATTGCAATTGTAATCATACCGTTGCTGGAATAATCTCTGAGTTATATACATTATCTCCATTTCTCAAGGATTTCTGTACTTCATGGATGTGGTTTCTTATATCATTTACAGTTGGAAAATAGGATAGATTATGTCTTTCAGGTACATCATCAGATTTGAACAGTTCTCTTTCCACAAATTTTCTGTAGATAATATAAAATGGAATAAAACATAAACAATCTAGTGATTTACTTTAGATCACATGAGAGAAAGTTCTCTTTGTAGCATAAACTAGTATAAAGCAATGTTTATAGCTTTATAAGTAGTTTAACTTTTTAAAAAAATATATTTTATTGATTTTTTATAGAGAGGAAGGAAGAGAGATAGAGAGCTAGAAACGTCGATGAGAGAGAAACATCAACCAGCTGCCTCTTGCACACCCGCTACTGGGGATGTGCCCGCAACCAGTGTACATGCCCTTTACCGGAATCAAATCCAGGACCTTTCAGTCCGCAGACAGACTGACACTCTACTGCTGAGCCAAACCAGTTTTGGCAAGAGTTTAAATTTTTCCACTTTCATTTCCCTACCTTAAATCATAGAATTCATGCAATTAAAGAAATGTAACATTTACAATGGTTAAGCAACTGTGTATCTTAGAGTGAGCTTCATATTTTTATGAACTTAAAGGAATCACTATTTTCAATTGAGGATGTTTTTTAATGCCTCCTAGGTCAGGCACTGCACTAAACACTTCACATCAAGTATTTCCTCAAACCCTTATTACAATCCTTTGAGGTAGGTACAATTAGCATTCCTACTTTATGGATAAGGAAACTGATAGGTTGCAGAAGTTAAGTAATCTGCCCCAAATTATACACTTACCTACTAAGTAAGAGAGCTAGGGTTCCCACTCAGATTATTTGCATAAATATCATGTTATGTTGCTTCTAAAAGGCATCAATTAAAATCATTTAAAATATGATCTGCTTGCATTTTACAAGTAGACAAAACAGAAGATAGAAATAGAAGGCACTATTGTCATATAATTATATAAAAATAGATACATAAAAGAAATGAATATAAACAATTTTGTGCATTATATTTGGTAGACCATATCACAGAGCTGTATTATACCTCTGATCTAAAATTCAGATTTAGTAAATAGTAGATTGTTTGAAAACCAAGATGATGGCATGGGTAAACACATAAACTGCTGCCTTGCACAACAATTTCAAAACCGACATCACCCAGAACCACATTAAGACTGGCTGAGTGGAAATTATACAACTAGAAGGAAAGAGGAAAGCACACTGAGACTTCAGAGGAACTACAGGAGGCAGAGGTACTGAGACGCGTGCGTGCTGAGGAGAAGACTGGCAACTGAGTGCGCAGCTGGCTTTCTCAAGCAGGAGGGAGACAAAAGCTCCTGACTGCACTGAACTCCAGTTCTGGGTGAGATTCTGGGGACCCAGACTCATTCAGGGAGAAACTGGACTGTCTGGCAGCAGGCAAACTCACGGGCGAACTCAAGGACAAATGACCTGGATACTTCTCCAAAGCAGACATACTGATGGCCAATAGATAAATGAAAAGATGCTCAATATCACTAATTAATTATCAGAGAAATGCAAATTAAAACCACAATAAGATATCACCTTCACCTATAAGAATGGCTAACATCAATAAATTAACAAATAATAAGTGTTGGCTAATATCAATAAATTAGCTGGGACCGGTTTGGCTCAATGGATAGAGCGTCGGCTTGGGGATTGAGGGGCCCCGGGTTCGATTCCGGTCAAGGGCGTGTGCCTTGGTTGCGGGGGCATATCCCCAGTGGGGGGTGTGCAAGAGGCGGCTGATCGATGACTCTCTCTCATTGATGTTTCGAGCTCTCTATCTCTCTCCCTTCCACTCTGTACAAAAATCAATAAAATATATTAAAAGAAAAAAAATATCAATAAATTAACAAATAAGTTAGTTAGTTGTTTAGAGCAAAGGGAACCCTCGTGCACTGTTGGTAGGAATGCAGATTGGTAAAGCCACCGTAGAAAGCACTCTAATGGCTTATCTACTGAAAATTTCTATACTATGAAGTGTATTACTTACAGCAATAAACAAAAATGAAAAACTTAGAGCAATTGTTTCTACTATACCTTAGATGTTTCCTTACTGCATACACTTGTTCTATTCCTTGTGATACTAATTCTTGAATCTTCTGTGCTACTTGAGGATGCAGACGTGAGGGTAATGTACAATTCTCATCCCTAACTGCAGTTTCCTCTTCTTCCAGAGAGGACACAGGAAAAGGGGGAGGTGACAAAGGGTGAGAAGGAGTCTCCAATTCGTGATACTGATGAGCTTGCTGTGTAGGTAACTGTACATACCACCTGACAAGAGAAAATATTTAAAGTTATATTACTAGACAAAGGCAAGAATCATAATTACATCTGTTAATACTTATCAAGAGAAGGAATAATCCTTTATGAAAAAATTATATATTACTATATCATATTAAATACAAATTTACATTGCCCTCTGCTTAACTTTTCTAAGATTGACTTTAAACTCAATTACATAAAACTCTTTTTTTTCTTAACAGACTTTTTTCTATGGCCCTAAAGTTAAGGAAGTTACAGGATTTAAGTTTATATGAAAATAGTATTTTAAAATCTCCTATTAAGTAAATTTCACCTCAAAATAATGAGACTTTTTATAACATCATCTTTTGAATTGTGTACTTTCCCACTGGTCTACCATTTTGTCCTCAGATTATAACCTCTGCGTTACACCTATTATCCTTCCAACCAAAAAGTGGACACAGAATGAGCTATGTGGGAGAATTGTCTCTTACAAGAACTCAACAAACTGCCTGTACAGCATTCCAGCTCCTGTTACCCAATGAACAAGACTAAAAGGTTGCTCGTACAATAGTGCAGTGCACAAAACAAATGCTAAGAAAATGAAACGATCAGGTAGGATACTATTTTAATTTATATATTTGTACAAAATGTTTGCAATGACTGATATTGCATAAATTGAGCCTACTTAATTAAATGTTATATGCAATGTTCTCCAAACTTAAGGTTCTAATTACTGAGTCTACTTATTTTTTCATATATCTGAAAGTTTTTTTAAAGATCATACAAAAACTATGACCGATACCCTTAACCGCATTATACAATTGCAAATTCTAGACCAGTGGTTCTCAACCTTTCTAATGCTATGGCCCTTTAATACAGCTCCTCATGTTGTAGTGACCCCCAGCCATAAAATTATTTTCATTGCTACTTCACAACTGTAATTTTGCTACTGTTAATGAATCGTAATGTAAATATCTGTGTTTCCCAATGGTTTTGAGCCACCCTGCTGGCGGTTCTCAACAGGTTAAGAACCACTCTTATAGATAAATTTTTTTAAATTTATCTTTATTGTTAAAAGTATTACATATGTCCCCTTTGTTTGTATTTCTTCCCCATTGATCCCCTCTACCCCATCCCTGCCCCGGCCCAAGCCTTCACCGTTCTATTGTCTGTAACTATGGGCTATGCATATATGCATAGAAATTCCCTACCAGGCTAGTTTTTAAGTTGATAATTTTGTATGTCCTGAGAATGATATTATAAATATCCAAATGACCCTTAGCAGAAAAAAGGTTCCCCACCTCTGGCTTATACAATGGCAAATCATTTTAATACTTAGGGAACTAGTAGTGAGACATCCGCCTTACAAAAAACCATTTCTCAATAAAATAACTGGAATCCATAATTATTATTTCTCTTACAGAAGGAATTCTTGCTAATTTATAAAATAACATCATATAAATGTCATACCTAAAAACACCACCAGCATCTACCAAGTTCTTCTTTAGCATGTTAAAGGCTTTCTCTTGCTCCATTCTTATTATTTTCTTATCAACTTTGGGGTCTGTAGAAACTCTATATTCAGGAAACTTTTGTACCTTTTTAATGTAAATTCTTTTTATAAGAAAAAAAAAGAATTTTTTATTATATTGAAATCTCAAGAAAACTTAATTTATCAACCAGAAGTTTATTTGAAGCATTAAAATTTAGAAAAAATTCAATTATTTTAGAAAGCATTCAGAGGATTATGTGAAAGACATGCTATAATCTCAGTGCTTCATAATACTTAGCAAATTAACAATAATAATAATTTCAGTAAAAATAGCTAAATTTTTTTTTCTGGTTTTGCCACTTTCCATTCTCATGGAAGCCATAAAAACCTCAGACCAGGGTTACTTTACTGGCCTCTGGACATCCAGTCTTTCATTACTTAAATCCACTTGATATATATCTATGCCACAATAATTCTTCACATTTGCATCTCTCTACTAAACTATCTGCTCTTTAATGAAGTTAAATTTCTTAGCCATATTTAAGGCATTCTATATAATTCTAGCTTTTTACCTAGTCTTTTTTTATATATTTTTTTTTATTGATTTCAGAGAGGAAGGGGAAAGGAGGGAGGGAGGAAAACAGGGAGGGAGGGAGGAAGGGAAAGAGAGAGAGAGAGAGAGAGAGAGAGAGAGAGAGAGAGAGAGAGAGAAACATTCATGATGAGAGACAATCATTGACCAGCTGCTTCCTGCACACCCCTACTGGAGATCAAGCCCACAATGCAGGCATGTGTCCTTGACCAGAACTGAACCCAGTAGGTACCCTTCAGTCTTCAGGCTGACACTCTATCCAGTGAGCCAAACCAGCTAAGGCACTTTTTACTTAATCTTACTTTCAATTACCTCAAATATAAAATTGTTTTTCCTATGAAGGTTATATAATCTAAATGAAGAAATCATCCTTCTTTCTCTAATACCAAATATACAATCATCCCTATCTTTATTTATATAGTCCTCCTAGCCTACAATTTATTTCCTTTAACTCTCTACCTATCCAAATTCAATCTAAACCTCAGCACCCAGGCTTTCCATATTTTCTGTCCTATTAATGTGTTTGCATGGTTATGTTCTCTCTCTGAAGATAGTTAGCTAATCCGTATTATATACTATTATGTTCTCTAAAAGTTTTGTTTGCTGAGCTACTCCAACAAAATTTTAAGTTCTCCATGGTTAAGGAAAATCTTATACCTGTTTTAGTCTCCCTACTTCCCATGGCAGCCAAATGTAGTTGCTGGGCACAGAGTAGATACTCAATTTTATATCAATTGATATACTCAAATTATATCTCAATTTTAAAAGTAAACTTTAAAAAAAATTTTAAAGAAATAACCAGTGTTTTTATTTACAGATATGACAGCTTTGAGATATATTTGGAATGAAGAAAAGCAAAGTGTATAGTAGTATATGTCATTACATTCAAACTAGTCTGAAGCATAATAGCTGTACAGTGAACAATCACAATAGGCATTCAGAATGAAAATAAATCAGTGTGAATTTACAGAAGGAAAGAAGGTATACTCCTACCTAACATTAAAAAAAGAAAATATTAGTAAGCCTTACCGAGATATTTAACACTTATGAGAGTAAAGGAGAATATATATAAATACACACACACACACACACACACACACACACACACACACACTCATATACACTGAATAACTTTGGAAGGTTATTCAAGAAACTGGTAAGAGTTGCTGCTTTAAAAGGGACAAGAGAGCAGAGGTAAGAAGAAAGTCAGATTTCAATGTATATTTTTTGGGCTGCTAATACTTTAAAAGTGAATATTAGCTATTCAAAAATAAGTACTTAATAAGAAAGAAATTTAAAAAAAGGAAAGTTTACCGGGCTGGACAAGTGGCTTTGTAAAGGTGACAAGGCCTGCTTTCCTGCTCACTGATCTTTTTTAACTGGCAACCTCTTCTCCTTGGCCCATACTGGCACTCCATTACCACGGCTCTGCTCCCTGTGGGCCCAAACCAACTACTGATATTATATCAGGTATCTCTCCATTCTGGATTCTAGATTAAGAATAACTTGGTGGTGGCTATATCAAAATCTATATTTTCATTACACAACCTTAAGAAAAGAATACAGCAATTGGACTTATTAAAATAAAGTGTACAAACAAGTAAATTTAAAAGTTGATTGTAACATTTAGCAAACGTACCATATTATGTTAAATAAATGAGGAAATACTACATTTACTGAATGTCAACTGATATTTACATACATGATTTTAATAATAAAATTTACCATTTTATAAATAGAAATTTATAGGATACATGCTAGAAGTACTTTTTAATATTACATTATTATAATCCAAAAATTCAAACTTCTAAAACACATGTGGCCAAAAACAATTGAGAGAAGGAATTTTTGAACTTGTACAACCACTTTAGTGAACAACTTGAGAAACTCTTGTAAAGATGAAATGGGCATAATTCACAACTCAGTAATTCCACTTTAACACATAATTACATCTTTTCAACAGAAAATGTATATTGTGGAGGTCTGACTATAGCATTTGTAATATTGAAAAGCTGGAGACCTGAATGATTATTTATAGAAAAGTAATTATGTTTTGGTCATATGCTAGACTGTTATAATAATTAAATTGAGTTAACTGGGATCTATAAGTATCAATATGGATAGATTTCAAAAATAAGGATGAGCAAAAAATTTACATAATAATGTCTACAGTTTACTATTTATATGTATTTTTAAATATTCCAAACAATAAAATATATTATAATAAATACAAATATGTGTGGTAAAATATAAAAACAAACTGAAAGATACACACCAAATTCATATAGTGGATACTTGTGAAGAGGTAAAAAGGGATTAGAACTAGGGCAGCGAAAAATGTTGCGTTTCTTTTGTAGAATACTGATAAACCTGGGAATAAGCCAGGGAAGATATCTTATCTTCCTCTAAGTATTTCTTTTTATCCTTACAGGTCTAGGATGAGGCTGCATCAGTACCCACATAGTTCTAGAATAAATCACTTATTTTTAGGTTCTGTGGGGTCTGACTGGTCTTACGGTAAATCTCTCGGAACTGTCTGAAACTCTATTACTCTAGTCAACACTAGTGTTTGAGAATCCTGTATATAATGCATCTGATGCTTGAGAACCCTGATATTAAAATTCTATATAACTCTTGATTATACAAAATTCTATATAGTAACTCAATAGTTACAAGTTATATAAAATGGCCATAAAATTGACAAGACAAATCAAAAGAGGAGAGAATATCTGGAGATTGGATGGAAAAACAAAAATAAAACACAAGAAATATATATATTTAAAATAATGAAATTGCTTACTGTTTAATTTCTATTAAAGAGGTGTACCTGGAATTTCAATATCATTTTTTATTTTCAGCATAATATCAAAAGGAAGCATGATTTATTGAATATATTATTGTAAAATGCAATTTTACAAAATGTTGATTATATTTATTTTAAGTTTTCTTTTTAGTTTAATATACATTTTTATCAATTAACATTTAGTTATCATCTACCAAAATGAAATCCACGGTTTCAAAATGGATCATGGCTACTGCTGAACCTTTTAAAAAATGTCTTTTAAAAAGTACCTGTATTGACAAATGGAATTCCATCATATGGGACATACTGGGACTTCCACATCAAACGTGTAGCTGGCTTGGCTGGGCTTGGAGATTGGCGAGTCCCCCAGACACTGTGAGTTTGCTGCTTGTGAAATGTTAAAACACTTTCTAATTCAGTCTCACTTACACAGTAGCCCCGGTATGAATCTCCAATTCTCTGCATGTAGTAAAATTAAAAAACACAATTATTAGCAAATACGTTTCATTGTACAAAAAAATTTAATGAGGTGATTGTCCAAGATAAAAGACTCATCAGCTCTCAAAAGACAATGTCATTTCTCCTTCAGATCAATGGTCTATTACAACCAGTGGACCTGGTCTGAATTCAACTAGCTTCATCAAATAGATACTGTCCAGGTATTTGTTAGAGAATGCCAAACTCACTGCCACAATGGCTTTATCAAAATCTTGTTATTGACAAATAATCTTTAGGGAAAATAGCTTGAAGAATATATCATGTATCCACTCTTCCAGATACTTAAAATTCTCCCACCATATCCAACCAAATCAGGATAATACTAGCCACAAGGTATTGGTTCCCTGTGGGGCTTCTTTAATGAAATTTATTTTGATATTATGCTATGAATCTGTTTGAAAACTGTGATGTATCTTATATAAAAATGTCAAAAAATTTGTTCATTTTATCAAGATTCTTTTCATAAAGATCCTTCTCTGGAATCCTGTCTGACCTTAAGTGCGAAAAATAAGTAATGGGTTTTTCTTTTTCTTAGCTTGTGGAAATTAGCATAAATACTTTTATCTAATGGACACAGAATTTATTAATTAACTTGGTTTCTCCCTTTGAATGTAGATACTGCAAGTCGTTTTCAAACGTAGACATTTTGGGCTCTAGCTGGTTTGGCTCAGTGTATAGACCATTGGTCCACAGACTGAATGCCACCGGTTAGATTCCAGTCAAGAGCACATACTTCAGTTGCAGACTCAATCCCTGGCCCGATGAGGGTGCATGCAGGAGGCAACCAATCATGTGTCTCTCTCATATCAGTGTTCTCTCTCTCTCTCTCTCTCTCTCTCTCTCTCTCTCTCTCTCTCTCTCTCTCCCTCCCTCCCTCCCTCCCTCCCTCCCTCCCTCCCTCCCTCCCTCCCTCCCTCCTTCCCTTTATCCCTCCCTCCCTCCCTCCTTCCTATCTCTCTCCCTCCCTCCCTCCCTCCCACTTTTTCTAAAAATCAATGGGAAAATATCCATTGAGGATTAAGAAACAAAAAAAGGTAGACATTTTGGGATGAGTTGTAGTTCACTAAGTGAATCTAGGTAAGGGTTGTTTTAACTCACCTCACAACTCCTAAGACGGCAAGCCCATATAGGTGTGTTAGAAGAAAGTGGCTGGAGAGGAGCCAGAAATGGTTCTTCAGGCATTCTGAGGCAGGGGAGAAATATATTTAAATATACGATGCAAGTTACACATATACATGGCATTCAACCGCTTTATTCTCTTAGGCAGTGTCAGAGACAAAATATGAGGTCAACAATAAGAAATTGGAATAATGACAAATTGATCTGATGGGTAAATTAATTATAATTTCTTTAATCGTGACTATTTCAGTACCTGCTAATACAAATGCCCAAGTTTGCTCTTCCAAGTACCTGTAGTTCCAAATTCAAGTATTTTATTTGTCTCTCTAAAAGCGTATTTTATATTCTTCTCATTATATAATTATTTTCATTTATTAAAAAATTACCTAATAGCCCTGACTGGTTTGGCAGTGGATAGAGCATCCACCTGCAGACTGAAGGGTCTCAGGTTCGATTCAGTCAAGGGCATGTACCTTGGATGTGGGCATATCCCCGATGTTTCTAATTCTCTATCTCTTTCCCTTCCTCTCTGTAAAAAATCAATAAAATATATATATTTAAAAATTCGCTAATAAAATATATATTTTAAAAATTAGCTAATTATAATTAAAATAATATATTTTTTAAAATTAGCTATATATTTTTTAAAAAATAACATCTTCAGGTGACTTGTTAAGAATAGCATGATAGCTGGCCAGTATAGCTCAGTGGTTGAGTATACAGCCATGCACCAAGAGGTTCGATTCCCCATCAGAGCACATGTCAAGGCTGCAGGCTCAATCCCCAGTAGAGGTTGTGTAGGAGGCAGTTAATGGGTGTTTCTCTCTTATTGATGTTTCTAACTCTCGAAATCTCCCCTCCCCTCTCTTTAAAATAAATAAAAACATATATTTTTAAAAAAGGAATAGCATGATATTATGCCAAGTTCTAAGACTAAAGGTCATAGTATTATACTAATTTAAAAATATTTTCTTAGATTAAAAAATCCTAATAATACAAAAACCATGTCTAGCCCAGTCGGCATGGCTCAATGGTTGAGCATCTACCTGTGAAGCAGGAGGTCACAGTTCAATTCCCAGTCAGGTCACATGTCCAGATTGCAAGCTCAATCCCCAGTGTGGGACGTGCAGGAGGCAGCCAATCAATGATCCTCTCTCATCATTGATATTTCTATCTCTTTCTCCTTTTCCCTTCCTCTCTAAAACCAATCAATATATATACACAAATATTTTCTTAAAGCCATGTTTATATTTTTCTAAATTATTATAAAGTGTTATTTTAAGACAAAAGTAAAAGCTGAGATACATATTAACAAAACACTTTTTAAATATTTTACCACAGAGGAATTAAATGCATAAAAACATAATGAGACCATTAAAAATTTCAGGAACTACAATGAATATTTCTTTATTCTAAAAATTCTCTTAGTGTCAGGTGTTTTCAGGTTGTTTCAAATATGACAGGCAAGTGTCACTGAGGAAAAGCAGCACTTTGGACACTTATTCTTTTAGACTAGCTTCCTTACTGCCAAGAAGCCATTAAAATAAAGATATGTTTGATGATAGTCTATTGTATTTCCTGAATTTCTGATATTCTCTACCGTCAGTCAGCTTTAGATGTAATAATTAAAAAATATATTTTCATGGTGATGACAAAAGATGAGCTCCCGTCCCATTGACTCACCTGGTCACTGTCTTTCGGGGCGAAGGGAGGGATGCTTGTGGGTGCAGAATATAACTACTGTTACGGTCTGCTACAGCACCCAGTCTTGTAGTTGGTAAGTTTCTGTTGCTGGATTTCTCTTCAGAGGCATCTTAACCACGATCACAAGAACAAAACATCATCAGTATCTTGAATAAGATCATGAGAATGTAACTAATGAGAACTTTCATATTTGGAACAGGAAAGGGAATATATGCTCTGAAGCTAAAGATAATAAAACTTACAATGCTTTATTGAGAATTTCTCCGATAAACTTGTTTACTTTCCAATTATAATACTGACTACTAAAATTCTGTAATTAAGTTTTTGGAACTTATATTGAACATCTAGGATAAACAGTGGTAGAAATAATTGTTATACATATTTAAAGTCTGTATAATTTCCTATTATACCTAATAGGAAAATATAAAACTGACTCTTTTTTTTTGTTTCTATACCATGTTTATTATGTTTTCTGCAAAGTATGTTTTTTTTTAACAACTGTTAACAAAGACAAAGAATCATAAACATTAAGGTAAAAATATCTACCCTAAATCATAACTTTGAATAAGCGACAAAAGAGTATAACTGTAATATTAGTAAAGAGATTCAAATAGATGGAATGAATGGCAAGGGAAGCAAAAGGAAGAGAATAGTGATATATTAAATATGTGGTGAAAAAATAAAATAAAAAGAAACTTGGAAAATGAGCCTCCTTTCTGAAACTGAAGAAACAAAGAAAGAAGGAAAAGAGTAGAGAATGAAAAGAATCATTGAAGAAAAATAATAAGTGACATGTAACAATACTGATAAAAATACATGTGTAAAATCTTCTCCAGTAGCTATTAGCACTATATTCTTGTTATTATTGTTGGTATTATTAGTGTTATCATAATTAAGAATTTATTTTATGCTCACTGGTCATTTGGGAGGAAGCAAGAGTCAACCAGCTTCATAGAATTCCAAAATGAAATAGACAGCTAACCTAGACAGGAGTTGGAAAATGAACTTAAAATTTATTTGGGCTAAGAAACTTTTTCTATTATTCAGTTCACAACCTTACCCAAAGAAATCAATTTTAGCACTGACTTTCATGAGGTGATTTTTCCAAGTGTACATTTTTTTCTTTAAAACATTCTAAAATCCCATCTCCCATTATTACTCACCCTGAGGACTATTCACATCCACAAGTTGCCCCGGAGGTATGATCACTTGTGTCATTCCTGTCTGAGTAGATGGAATTACACGAAGCATCTGTCCATTTTCTGATGAGCTGGCAACAATCATCTTGGATTCATTAAAAAAGAAATCAAATGCATAAGCCTATACTAATTTAAGAGTTATTATTCAAATCATTAAAGACATACCTACCTCTTTGGTCGTTACTATTATTTCCCTCATTTTATAGATGAAAACATCGAGATACATAAAAATTTTTCCAAAGTCTCACAACTGGTAAGTGTTAAAACTAGAATTCAAAACAGGCAGCTCGACCCTATGTCCTATGATCTTAACCATCTATGATCTTAGTCATTACACATGGGTGAGATCTAATAACTTAGTAATATGACAAGGTTCTGAATAAACTAAATGTATTAACTTTTTTATATTTATTGTATTGCCCATACATGTTTGGCCTATTTGTGTGGTAACAGTCTATATTTTAAGTCATTTTGTTAGTTTAAAGGAGTAACTTTTTAGATGTCTATTTAAACAGTATTTGTTTTTATATATCTGCATTTATATACATCCTGTCTTGATCTATAGGGAATACTACAAAGTTCCAAAAAATCTAAAAACATAGAGAAAAGTATACATTATACTTTTTTTCAGGTTAATAACTAAACTCATTGCCCCAAATTTAGAGGAATGTCAATGTGTGGGAGGCAACCAGTCAATGTGACTCATGAATGTTTAATAAGAAATGTATATTTTTAAATCTTCAAACACAAGTACACACACACAAACACACACACACACACACACACACACACACACACAATTAATATATATAATTAATCCTCACCAGAGAATATTTTCTCTAGAGAGAGTGGAAGGGAGGGGGGGTGAAGTGGGGGAAAGAGGGAAAGGGGAAGAGGGGGAAAAGGGGCAAGAAAAAGAGGGGGAGGGAGGAAGGGAGGGAGGGGGAGAGAGAGAGAGAGAGAGAGAGAGAGAGAAAGGGAGAGGATATACAAACTATTTAATAGTTGCCTCCCACAGTACCCTACAAGTACGTGTCTTTGACCAGGAATTGAACCTTCAACCTTTTGGTGCTTGGGCTGACGCTCTGGCCAGGGCTAAAACTCGTTCTTTATAAAGTATACTCACCATTTGTGCATTAGAATCCCCCGATGACTGAAGTTCATACGGAATCGGTTGTCCATTTTGGTCCACAAGGTGAAACTGCTCTGCAGAAAGAGCCTGTGCCTGAGTCAGGGGCCCTGGTACAGTCTGTGATGTGAGGGAATTATCTGCTTCATGAGGAGTGATGGGTAAAACTCTACCAGAACTATTCTGTTCAAAGGACGGATCCCTGGAGTCGATACAGGTTGAATGCTTTGCAAAAAAATAATAAAATAATCACTTGGATGTTTGTAAAACATAACAATTTAAAAAGAAAACAGAATGTTTATAATAAAAATGAAAACTTTTTTCAGTTAATTAACCACTTTAGACTACAAGAGTTGTCCTTCACAGACTGATAAGACAGAAAGCAATTCTTAAATGAAATTGATTTTTATTATATTCAATCTCAATTAATGAAACATAATTCAACATTTTGTATAAAATTTTATGAATATATAAAACTAAATATGATAGAATTATGGATAATAAAATGTTAAAATTCTTGAGTACGTTAATACAATAGTATTCCTTCAGCATAAAAAGTTGTTAAATGGCATGTTGTTTTCCCTTAGAATGGGAAAAAGTTCCCAGTTGAATCTCTATCTCAAATTACCTGAGAATCTGTTTTTGAATCTTCGGAATCATTATGGTTGACTATTAATGAATCATTAGACTGTTCCATGCTGACATCATATTCAATTCCATTTTCTTCTATTATTTAAGAGCTGAAAGAGTTCAAATATCTGATCAACTAAAGCCTTAATGTTTTTACATAATTTATGTCTAAATCAAATCATCCATCAAATAGCTAGGTATAAAATATTCTTTTCCGACAAGTAGCCATAAACATAACAAAGTACCTATAGAGAAAGTGTAAGTGACTTTTCCCTTAACTTGTAATAGACAATTGTGAACTTTTATGACAGTTGTTGCTTTCAATTAGCTAAAAATAACATTACCTTCAGGAACTAGCTCAAATTTATCTCCAGGCCTCCAGCATCCTACTCCCCCCAAAAGGCCCTCTTGTCCACTGAAGGTCATCCTTTCTGTGGCACTAAAATCATGACAGTAGTAGCTTCAGTTATGAGAGAGAGAGAATTATGTCTTCATAGCAGCATTGTTTTCTGTAATGAGAACATATTCAATGTATATTTTATTTTCCTACACATAAAATAATACTAGATTTTGTTATACAGGCTTATTATAAAATAGCCATTACAAGCCTAGTGTGGTGGAACCATCAGTAAGACTCACTAAGGACTTTACTAGAGCTGCCCTTGTCTTGTGGTAGGTGATGTAATTTCTGCTTCTTTATATAAAATCAGACACTTGGACTAAGTTTTGTCTCAGCTCCCACATTCTAGAACCAATGAAACAAGGACCTCTACAGCAAATTACATTTTTGTCCACAATGAAAACATTTACTAATAGAGCACAGCGACTTTTGAGCTATAGAAACTTCAGAACAAAGCTCTCCTCCCCCTCCCTCACTCCCAATAATATCCTGGAATTGATTTGACGAGCTTATTTCTTTTTTTCTTTTTTAATATATTTTATTGATTTTTTTACAGAGAGGAAGGGAGAGAGATAGAGAGTTAGAAACATGAGAGAGAAACATCGATCAGCTGCCTCCTGCACAGCCGCAAACTGGGGAGCCAAACCGGTTTCGGCGACAAGCTTATTTCTTAATCAAGTAGTATTGGGTTTGGATAAGAGTACAGAAAGGAGAAAGTATTAAATATATACTCTATACAGTTAATGTCTGGACTTCAGGACACAAACTAAGGCATTAAATTTTGCTGGGAAATTGCTTTCTAGAATGTTTCACATTACATTAAAAAAGGGGACTGAGCCGGGACCGGTTTGGCTCAATGGATAGAGCGTCGGCTTGGGGACTGAAGGGCTCCAGGTTCGATTCCGGTCAAGGGCATGTACCTTGGTTGCGGGCATATCCCCAGTGGGGGGTGTGCAAGAGGCAGCTCATCGATGACTCTCTCTCACTGATGTTTCTAACTCTTTATCCCTCTCTCTTCCTCTCTGTACAAAAATCAATAAAATATATTTAAAAAAAAAAGTGGACTGAACCTTATTGCAAAAGCAAAGATTGGGAAGAAAGTGTTAAGTTAGAAGTTGCTTTAATTTATAGGGAAGGGGGCTTTTTATTGCTTATACATATTTCATACATGGCAGAGGGGAAAAGACTATTCAGGCCGCAGTCACTCATATCTCTGTGGGCCATGCTTGGGCTCTGCTGTTTTGATTGTACTCAACTGTATTTCTATTTGGTCAAAAATTTAGTGGCAGTTCTCAGCTGCAATTTCTAAAAATGTGTCTTTATATCAAATTATTATGAGTTTCCCTCCCATAGACTTTTGTGTAAATTTATCCATTAAAACCAACAATCTGAAATAAATCCCCAAAGAGGTCAGATAAGGAATAAAGCCACTTGAGGTTTACTCTTAAGATTTTTTTTTTATTATTATCTCTGTACCTTGATAGTCTCAAGATTTAAAGGGGTTTAAAAGCTATTCAATATCAGTATCAGATCTTATTAACTACATTTTCAAAATATTGCTCAAAATTATTTTAGAAAATATCTTTCATCTTTTAGGGTAGGTAAATGACAATATAATTTTTATGATCTATAAAAAATTAATATGAATCAGTGGTGTCAAAATTAAATCAAGACTACTAGTTCACAGATATTTTGTAGAATACTTTTTTTAAAGGTGGGAGAAAGTTATAGCATGCTAAATCAACATCAAAATTTAAGTGTATGCAAATTTACATAGAAACCATAACCTACTTTAACTTTTTTCCGTGAAAAAAACAAATTTAAGGCTAGTATTCAGTGTCTCTTTTCTCTAAGATTTGTCCTATAAATTTCCTTGTAATCTTGGTTCATGTATATACACACCTTTCTACCTTTGCTCTTGCAACTTCCATAGATCACAGAGCATTAGAGTTGATTCAAAACGAGGAGAAAAATAAAAATAAAAACCCAGAACAATTTGGACTCCAATGCTCTAATTCAGTGGTCAGCAAACTGTGGCTCGCGAGGCACATGCGGCTCTTTGGCCCCTTGAGTGTGGCTCTTCCACAAAATATCATATGTGGGCACGCACGTACAGTACGATTGAAACTTCGTGGTCCATGCACAGAAGTCGGTTTTCGGCTCTCAAAAGAAATTTCAATCGTTGTACTGTTGATATTTGGCTCCGTTGACTAATGAGTTTGCCGACCACTGCCCTAATTGTCTTTATGCTATACCACATCATATCATCATATACATTAGGGGTGTCGAACTCAATCAAAGAAGGGGCCAAAATCTAAAATCCAGCCTAAATCGCGGGCCGAATGGTTTACTGAACAGTCATAAACTGTCATTGTGATGGAAACGCAGCGGAGTGCAGTGATGACAGCGCGGTGCGGGCCACATTGCAAGGCCTGGTGGGACAGATTTGGCCCGCGGGCCTTGTGTTTGACACATGTGATATACATATTAAAAAAAACAATAACAACCCTATAACAATAAAACACACACACACATATTCCCAGCTGTTGTTCTCCAAATAACAATGTGTCTTCATGAGGACCTCAGTAAATGAATCATGTAGGAAATCATTAAGAACCAAAAACTTTCAGTTAATATTCTAAGTAAACTTAAGGAAAACACTCATAGAAAAAACACTACCTTAGGTATCGCATGGAGACAACACCAAATTTAAGACATGTCACTGCTGAAAACATACCAAAGCCATCATACTAGGTGTTTACTTATTTTGGAATACTTATTAACAAGTTTTTCCTTTACTAAAGTTCTGTCAAATGAAAAATGTATTTTAGTGAATTCTGTATTTCTGCATTGACAATTAAAGCTTTATCTCATTAAGCTAGGGGTGTCGAACTCAATCAGAGAAGGAGCCAAAATCTAAAATCCAGCCTAAATCGCGGGCCAAATGGTTTACTTAACAGTCATAAACTGTCATTGTGATGGAAACGCAGCGGAGTGCAGTGATGACAGCGTGGTGCGGGCCACATTGCAAGGCCTGGCGGGACAGATTTGGCCCTCAGGCCTTGTGTTTGACACATGTGCATTAAGCCTTCAGGTTTTGTATCTTACTGTATCTTATTTTTCCTTAAAAAAAATTTTTTTTTATTATTGGGGAGAGATAGAAACATCAATGATGAGAGGGAACCCTCACGCCCCCTACTGGGGATTGAGCCCACAACCCGGGCATGTGCTCTTGACCAGAATCAAACCATGACCTCCTGGTTCATAGGTCTACGCTCAAAAATTGTTCAAAAGTTTATGAACAATAAGCCATGCCATCTGGGCTTACTGGTATTTTTCAATTCGAATTAAGAGCAACCTATATTGATTCTTACCAGGTACTGTATTGTTTTTTATAGATTTCAAATCAATGACACTTTAAATTGTACTAATCTACACATTTGTAAAGATATTTTGAGCAATATTATCAATAATTTTAAAATTATCTGAAAAATAAATTTTTTGAAGATTTTGAGGTTCAATGACATTGAATGCAGGTAATTTTAACTGCTGTAACTAAAAAAAAAAAAATCACTAGTGGTTAAAGAAGAATGATGTTTAAAACTGTCAAATTTCTACCCAATTCTACCAAATTGATGAATTAAAAACAGGGAGACCTCAAGTAAGCAACTGTTCCAAGCCTCAGGTGGTCTAACTCCTTTAATGAATGCCATTCTCACCAGTACAAGGAGCCACATGACTGACTGGCCACCGGTTTATTTGCCAGCCCCGTCCTTCGCTGGGACTTCAGCACAGAGGTTTTGTTCTATTCCTCTTACCATGAGGCGGTTCTCATTTGTCCACGTAAAGAACATCTCTAAACGGTCATGGCGGTGATCATGGCTCACGTTTACCGGGCGCATTGAGTTCCTGCAGCCGACCTCAGTGTGCGGCACCGAGGTTAACACACACAGGGGCGAGCACCAGGAGGCGGACAGCCGTGTGTAAGGAACTGGCATGCAGGGTGTGGGCATGGCACAGCTGTCAGCCTGCTTCTGCCCGGGCGGCATTAGAGCGCGGGCGCGGGGCTCCCGGGCCGAGTATAAAAACGGAAAACAGTCCGCTTTCGCCGTCCCTGCTCCCCAATCAAAGGCTGGTTTCCGCTTACAATCACTCCTCATGGCCCGTGAGTGCCTGAAATATCGGGTGTAAGGAACGTGTGTTGCCTTCGCCTGTGCACACACCGCGGGGCCCCCCAGTTTTCGCCATGCAGCTCTGCCTGATTCTCGAAGCTGGGAGCTTCCCAGACAAACGCCTTAAAAAGTGACCGAAATCTGAAATAGTACGGTTATCTCTCCATCCATCCTCCAAAAACAACCACATTGCATTAGAATAGTTCCCGGTCACTGACCATAAGACACGAGCCTTTTTGGTAACTTAGACCCCAAAATTAAACAGCGGAGGAGGTGGTGTGGAATACGCCTTTACCTTTCTAAATATGAGATATAAAGGGGCTCACAAAAAGGGGGGGGGGGAGAGAAACAACACCCCAAACCCTAAAAACCGGGGCAGGGGGCTGCGGGAAGGACCGCACACACCCACGGGTGCTCCCGCCCAGGGGCCGGTCCCTCTCCGGCGGCCGCAGTCCCGGCTCCGCGACCCCCTCCGGCCGCCGAACCCCCTTCCCAGCGGTCTCCCCGGACCGCGAGCCTCCCCGGGCGGGGGCGGGGGCGGAGGCCTGGCCGTCTAAGGCCCCGAGCCGGTCCGGCGGTCGCGCCGAGGTCCGGCGGCGGCGGCGGCGGCGGCGGGGGCGGGGGCGGCGGTTGCTTAGGGACCGGGAGGGTCGGGAGGTGATGGGAGGCGGCGGCGGCGGCTGGAGGAAGGGGGGAGGGAAGTAGCGTCCGGTCTGTCCGCGCAGACAGCTCCCCAAACCTCCACCCCCCCCACGCCCGCCGCCGCCGGGAGCTCTACGGGGCGAGGAGGGAGTCCACAGAGTGCCGGAGCAGAGGGGAGAAAATTCAAAACGAGTCTACTCAACCTCGTCTTGGCTCCGAGGCCCCGCCATGGAGACCGACCGGCACAGTGCGCAGGCGCATCCCCTCCCGGAGCGCGCAGCGCGGGCAGGAGATGTGACTGCTATCGGCCACCATCGTCGGTTCCCACTCTGATTGCGTTCTTCTATTTATTTATTTTAAATTTCCTTCTTCTCATCTGGATTTAAAACGTGAAGCTGGAGGCGAGCGCCCACAAATAATCTCGGCAGAGTGGCTCTGCTTGTGAGTGTGCGTGATCAAATAAACGGAGAACGGCTTTAGTAAATAAAAGGGGGGATAAAGAGGAAATGTAATAAATATCTGGTTGGAGTCGGGATGGTTTAATAAAAATGAGAAAAAAAGGGAAAAAGCATTCCAGACAAAAAAATAAATAAAAATACTTAAGTAATCTCATTATGCAAATAAGATATCCTGAGGGCAAGGTGCTTCCCCCCAAAAAAACTACAATTCCCAGCAGTTACAGCGTGTGAGAAGCGCTGCTTTCTGGGAGTTGTAGTATCTAGGACCCGTTTGAAATATCGGATCTAAAGACAAGCTATTATATAATTTTATAATAAAAGAGAAGGCGAGAGAGGGCCTTTCTGTGTCTTCCTACTCGATCACGGGCCTAAATATATATAAAGACGTCCACACAGACTAAAGCGACGCTCCGCCGTCCTGATCGATGACGCCTGATCTGCGGATAGGCAGTCGATGCGTGCGGGCTGGGCTCCGGCAGGCACCGCGTGGTCTGGCTGGCTGGCTGGCTGGCTGGCTGGCTGGCGGCCGGAGCGGAGGGCGCGGGTCCGGCCCCGGCGCCGGCTGAGGGTGTGCTGCCCCTTCCTGTGACCCTCAGGGACCAGAGCTCCGCAGAGGGGCTCGTCTGGCCGTGACCTGCACGTGCCTGTGGGCAAGCGAGGTGTGCACCCCGCGATGGCGCAGCTCCAGGCGCGCTTCTTCACCGACAACCAGCAGTAAGTACGACGCCGCCCGCCTCGCCCCTTGCGGGAGGGATCCTCTTCTGGGACTCCTTCGGGGCGACCCGGTGGGTCCCCGTCTTCGCCGCGTTCGCTTTCACACCTCCCGCCGGTCTGTCTGTGCTGGGCTCCTCGCCGGGCTCCTCGCCAGGCCGCGGCGCCTCTGAGGATTCCTTCCTCGGGGACCGGCCCCGGTGGCAGCCTCCCCGCCGTTCACACGGGGACTGGAGGCTCCCGGAGGCACACCGTGTGGCCGTTGCACAGGGAACCGCGACGTGGCAGGCTGTCTGCTCACGACGCTTGTTTCTGAAAACTCAACTTCATTTTTTTTTTTTTTAAGTAGGTGGTAGACTCTGTTTTCATAAAACCAGGCTAGAAAGGGGAGCTCTGAAGAGGGTGTTGGTAAGACTTTCTTTTATAAGAGTGTGAAGTCATTCAGTTACAGATTTTTGGATTTATATACATATATTTTTATGTGTATATACATACGTGTATATATAAACATTTTTAACAACAGTCCCCGGGTCTATACCATTCATTTGAAACCTAATTATATCCTGCCTTACGGTGTGTATGGTAGCGTTAGGAGCTGACCTGGTAATTAATTTTGTCAATCCCATGCAGCAAAATGTCTGATGTGTATTAGATACCCAGTGAATGTTTGTTGAACGAATAAATGCACATTTGTTAAAATGATCTGTGGACATAATCTTGATGTTTCGTTTCTGTTTTGTAGCTATGCGATAGACGATGTTCCCTTCTCAATCCCTGCAGCTTCTGAAGTTGCTGACCTCAGTAACATCATTAATAAGGTGCTGGAGGCTAAACATGGTAGGTAGTATGTTCTGAAAAGTTAGGAGACGGCACAATACCACTAACTCCAATAAATTCCTTCACACTTTTATTTCCTTATTTTGGTTTTATTTTATAATCTGCATACATTTTATAATGGTAAAATTTATAAACTACAATAGATGTGGTTCCCTGCTAATACTTTTTAAAAAATGCTTTAAAATAAAAGTTTCCAGTGAAAAAATATTTTTAGGACTAAGGAGAGAAGGTGGTTGAGATTTAGGAATAAAGATTTTAGTATAAAAGTTGTGATGTAAAGGTAATGAAGACATTGCGACTGTGCTGAAGAGGGCTGAGCTGGGTTGGCAGAGAGCTTGGGCCCCACTTGCTGTACTTCTACAAAATGTAATAAGAAACGCCAGTGTTCATACTGTTGTGTGTGTTTTTTTAACTATTTAAAATTCACAAGAATGGGTAAAACATTTATAAATATGTAAGAATATCAGACCATTTATAAAGATACAAATGTTAAACATATGCTGTGTGAATATAAGTTATTAGCCCATAAAATTAACATAAGCAATGTGTGCAACAATATTGATTAAATAAGATTGGCCATACATTGATAATTGGAGTTTTATGATAGGTACATGAAGATTTATTATAAAATTTATTCTCCAGTTTTGCATATATGAATTTTTCTATAATATGATTTTTAAAAACTAAAATCACACATGAAATAGAAGATGTAAACACTTTATTCTGGAAAAACTCAGAGGCCACACTGGGATAATAGGTACCTGTTTGTTTTGGAGTCTCTCATATACATCTCTGCTAATAATAACTTCAGGTCCTCTGAGTGATGATTTTATTATGTATTTTCTTTAGACTTCCACAAACATGTGGAGTTTGATTTCCTTGTCAAGGGCCAGTTTCTACGAATGCCCTTGCTCAAACATATGGAACTGGAAAACATCTCATCGGTAAGTTCAAATGCTTACTTGCTCTATTTTACTAAAGTTATTGCCAGGCAATGTAGATTAAGCCATTTAGATATCAGGCTTAATCTAATCTAATATTGCGGTAACCAGTATCCTTTTGATTACTTTTACCCCTAGAAATTTAAATTTCAGTTTTGTATATACTCAAGTTTTTAATCCTCTATTCTGAGAGTATATTTTGCAAGAAATACAGATAATTGAATATGGAAAGATACCTTCATATCTGTGGGAGAATGGTCAAAAAAGGCAACAACAAATACATATTTAGTTTTCATAAAGGTGTGAAAAATGATTGTGCACCTAGAACAACTTAAAGCTTAGGCCAATGATCGCCAAACTCATTAGTCAACAGAGCGGCAAGCCGCAGTTTGCCGAACACTGCCAAAGGCTATTGTGATTTAAAATGATTTTTTCCCCCTGTAGTTTTCAAACTTACTAATATTGCTTTTATCATTTAAAACATAATTTGGGGGGGCAAGTTTTAGAACTGTGGTAAAATACTCATAAAATGTATCATTTTAACCATTTTTTGTTTATAATCCAGTGGCCATTAACTACATTCACAATATTATGCAACCATCACCACTATTCATTTCCAAGACTACTACTTCCTTCTAAGTAGAAGCTCTGTACCCATTTAACAATATGCTTTTGTGACTTTATAATTTAAGTTTCTTATATTCTTTTTTAAAAATATATTTTTATTGATTTCAGAGAGAGGAATGGAGGAGAGATAGAAACATCAATGATGAGAGAGAATCATGGATTGGCTGCCTCTTGCTCGCCCCCCTTTGGGGATTGAGCCCACAACTCAGGAATGTACCTTGACTGGGAATCGAACTGAGCCCTCCTAGTTCATAGGTCAACACTCAACCACTGAGCCACTCAGCCAGACTTCTTACATTCTTTTCCCCCCACTTTTAACATAAGTTTTCCAAGGTCATTAATATTTCTTTCTTTTTTTTTTTTAATATATTTTATTGATTTTGTACAGAGAGGAAGGGAGAGAGATAGAGAGTTAGAAACATCGATGAGAGAGAGTCATCGATCAGCTGCCTCTTGCACACCCCCTACTGGGAATATACCCGCAACCAAGGTACATGCCCTTGACCGGAATCGAACCCGGGACCTTTCAGTCCCCAAGCCGACGCTCTATCCATTGAGCCAAACTGGTTTCGGCAATATTTCTTTCTTTTAATATATTTTATTGATTTTCCACAAAGAGGAAGGGAGAGGGATAGAGAGCTAGAAACGTTGAGAAACATCAATCAGCTGCCTCCTGCACACCCTCTACCTGGGATGTGCCCGCAACCAATGTACATGCCCTTGACCGGAATCGAACCTGGGACCCTTCTATCCACTGAGCCATACCCGTTTGGGCAATATTTCTTAATGTTACTCATAGCATACTGTTAAATCAAATAAAGTTTCATATTTTATATGGCTCCAGATTTTCTGGATTATGAAGGGGACAAACATGGAGATGTCTTAAACTGGGGGGGGGTCTTTTATCTTTGTAAGACTGCACCACCTGATTGATGTCTGCTCTCTCTCTTACTAGGAAGAGGTTGTGGTACTAGAATACGTGGAGAAGTACACTGCCCCTCAGCCAGAGCAATGCTTATTCCATGATGACTGGATCAGCTCCATCAAAGGGACAGAGGAATGGTATTGCCAGATGAATGTTCTTATATCCCTTTTCTTATGCCACCATCAGCCTTCTTAAGTGCATGATGGGAATATTCTCTGATTCTCTGTTCTTTGTAAAAATAATTTGTGATACACGTATCAGTGACCACTCCAAAGATCTTTACATCCACTCTAGTCAAGAAGAAAGATATCAGTAAGTTTTCTGTGTTAAGATGTGGTGATATTTGTATTCTGAATAGGTCAAGTGTCAAGGCATTTATTTGATTTGCTGCTTTTAAGACCAAGGATATTATTTGTGTTATAGAGAAGACCGGGTGGAATCCTTTTATAAGTTACATATCTCCTGGCCTGCTATCATGAAGATGCAGATCATGTTATATTGGGGCTAAAACGGGCAGACTGGAATCAAGAAGTTGTGGCTGGCTTAGAGCAGATCCCCGCTGGCCTTCCCTGTAGAAAACCCCTGAAGAGTGGTGTATAAGGTAGCTTATGCTCAGAGAATTCTCCGTGTAGTTATTACACAAAGTTACGCTTTTACTTTAAGGGGTTTTCTGTGTGTGTTTGTTTGTTTTTTCTGTTTAGTGGTTTTTTGCAAGGACTGTTAGGCTTTACAAGCTACTTGCTTAGCTTTCCTAATAGTTTTAGTATTTACAACAGTAAAAGTGAAGTCTAGGATTTGTCAGGAGTTCTATTTTTATTTTTAGCATGTCAGGAAAAGCCAAATATAATATCTTCTGTTCTGCTCTAGTGTGTTTTGAAATTTCATATTCAAGAAGTATAATTTAAAGTATAATCCTCAAAATTAACTTTGTTGTTACCTTAGAAATATA